AAGAAGTTGTTTAAAGTTTTTAACATATTTGACCCCTGTGACCTTGAATATGGGTGAAGGTCATTCATTTGAACAAACTTTGTAGCCCTTCATCTCAGCATGCTAATGGCCAAATATCATCACCCTGGGCATGTTGTACTAGCTATGTTTTGAAGTTGTTATACTATTGGAGTAACATACCAATTGTGTTGCTTTGTAACACTTTTGAATGATATCGTAAGGGAAGGGGTTAAGAATGTCGAAAGTCTAATGAATGTCGAGTTAAATAATGATAAGGAGTACCAATTTTGCACATGCTATAACACAACTTAAGCTGTGACCTTGACAATAGCGGTGGAGAGTTTGAACTTTAGCTGTGACCTTGACAATAGCAGTGGAGAGCTGGAACTTTAGCTGTGACATTGGCAACAGCAATTGAGTGTTGGAACTTTAGCTATGACCTTGACAACAGCGGTGGAGAGTTGGACCTTAGGCAGAAGGTGACATACTCTTTTCCTGTTACAACGTTATTATACAAGGGGTAGGGGTTACACAAGAAATTTTAAGGGTGATGTAGAGAAAATCTGCACTAATACCTAGATTTGCAAAGAAATACACGATGGTTAAGTTGATATATCCTCAATTCATTCACAGTTATCTGTAAACAGCAAGTGGTAAAGGCAATACATACATCTGAAAGTGTTAAATATGTATACCTTTATAATTAACAGGCAATGGGAAAAGTCTGTTTTATTCCTACTCAAGATTTCAAAGTCTATTCTAACTTTATTTTCATCAACTTTGAATAGGCACTTTTTAACTATGGTCCGAAACTTTGTTTTATAATTGGTACTTTAAACAAATATTTTGCAACCCTGATATTTTGAGGGCTGAAAATCACACATCTATCATTTTGGCCTATCCTTTTAATCTCTGACCTACCTGTACAACTGTTTTGAGTGATTTGTTGTTTCTTGTAATCTGTGGTGTTCTACAACTTACGTACGATAAGGTGCATGCATTTTACACTGTAGGAGATTTACGGTAATTGGGTAAACGGTAAAACGTTAGTTGTAAGTTAATCTTTAAGGATCCCCGTCCCAGCCAGAGCAAAACACTAAAGATTTCCACTGTCGTTTTTCAGTGTTAGAGTCACCTGCCCCTGATTACCATTTCGACAATCTTATTATCTCTTGTCTCTTGAATAAATTTCGTTTGAATAACGTTTCGACTATAGAGTTGTGTCCCTTGGGTTGAAAATCTCCAATCGCGAAAGTGTGGACAAAAAAAGCTGTCGTAACGATGTAAACAACGTTGTGGCAGTGATGGCCGACATGCAAGCCCGACGAAAAATCGACCGTTTTAAATGTAAACTAAACGAATTAACTGACAATAATTACAACAACGATGTCAAATATTAAATGCTAGACCACAGTGGCGGATACAATGACCTATCTGGGGGGTTTCCAA